TAAATTATAGGAAGTACCAGAATTTGGTTGAGTCCTATGAGGATCTGGCTTTTCTGAACTCTTCTGAAATGAACACCCAGGCTAATTTAGCACTGATTCTAACAAGCCTGGAAAAGTCACCTAAAACTATGTTGTAGGTTTTAAAATCCAAAATGATGAGAAACCATTGTGAATTCAGAAGACTATAGAGACAATATATAGAAGTTTTGCAGCAGGAGGGTAATGGGATCAGAACTGTGCTTCAGAAAGATTAATGTCATCAGCAAGAAGGACCATAAAAGGGAAAAAACTAAAGGAGACATGTGCAAAAGGTCAAGAAAAATAGTCTAGTACAGTAAGAAGGTCTTTGAAAAGCAATGTATAGACACCAGAAAAAATGGATTTGTGAATACGAACACACACACATACACACACACACACACACACACACAATGAATGAATAGGAACTTTGTATTTGACAAAAAATGACTGTGAGAACAGTGGTTTCATGAAAAGAGACAAAGAAATGGAGAATAAATAATTTAAATGTAAAAGAATTAGAGACTAGGTTACCATAATTAGGAAGATAGCCCAGATAAATTAAGCTTGACTAACCACCTATAGTAGTTATGACATGGAAATTGTAGTCTCAAGTGATATCCAAAAGAAAAAAAAATCTAGGTTCTAACAAAGATAATGTATATGAGAACCAAATTATAAGGAACAAAGAGTTGTAATTCTGCCTCTGCCTCCCAGAGTACTGGTAGAGCAATAATCAAAGGAATGAATACACAAGTCACATTTTTATTTATTTAGGTATCATTCTGCCGGTATCCATTACCAAGAATAAATGAGAAGAATGCAAGGAATCCGATTCAGCTGTAATCCAAGCATTTTATCATGGCAGCTTGACCTGGGAAGGTATCATTAAAAAACAAGATAAGTGAAAAGACTGGAAAGATCTAGGAGAAGATGGTGAAAGAAGTAAGTTCACTAGACAATGGTTTCATGAAGGGTGAGACCAAAGGTATCTCCCAGGTTTAAAGATGAGATAAGTGTGTTTGAAGTGACAGTATTTTGATAATGTTGAGGGGGTGAATGGCAATGTATCTTTTATTGTAATAAATTTTTTAACATTCATGATATGTTTTGCTCATACCTAGTTAATGAGTACAAAGGAAGGAAGAAAAGAGAAGTGGCAAATACAGGAAACTCTTCCAAGAAACTTGACTAAGAAGGGAAGAAAAAAAAATAAGGGAGATGAAAGGAGAAGTAAAGAAACTGTGGTTAGTTTTGCTTTTGTTTTTAGAATAGAAGCAATGATGAGAGAAGAGGTAATAAGAAAAACAAAGTGGTGGACAGGGAAGAGAAGAATTTCTATACTGTCATCTTGAAGGCTGTAAGCAATCCCATGGCCTCTACAAAGTAGCTTTTCCATTCTCTATCAGGTACATTTGACCTTCCTCACTCTCTTCAAACCTCCAACCCAACACTTTCTACTGCTAAAAAAAGGGCAAAGAACTCAAATGAATTTTCAAATTTTTACTACCAATTTCTACCTTGACCCTCTTTGTTCTTGTTCCTACAAATGCCAAATAGGAACGATTTTCTCTTAACTTTGGTCAACCCTGACCTCCTACTTTTGTGATTATTCCTTCCATGTTCCTAGACCCATAATCCTCTTTGTCCATCTATGGACACGCTATATTCCAAATATAACATTTTTTTCTTAAAAATAGCACATCACACCTTTCATTTTCTAACGTCTCACTTTGATCTTTACTTAATTTGCTGAATTGAAGTCTCAAATCATTGAAACAAAACATAATTTTGTTTTCTCCATAACTACTCAGTTGAATCCTAAACATGTTAAATGTGGCCAGTGAAATTCCAAACTTTTTAGTCACATTCAATTATCAAAGCATAGTTTTCAACACCATCTGTGGATATAGCCTGCCACATTAGCACCATGGGAACTATGCAGGCTCTACCAGATGCTGGTGGTGGGGAGGGCATGGCTTGTTTTTATAAGCTCCTCTCCTTCCTTCCTCCCTCCTCCATGCTTTCCATCCCACTCTGCTTCTTTTATACACTTTTGTCCTCTATTATAAATGCATCTGTAAGATCAGAGCAATATTCTACTCACAGAGCTTACCAGACACTAGTGATGGGTCTGCCCCAGTCATCAGCCAGTCCTTTTCTAGAGGGCTCAGTGACCCCAACTGCCACTAGACTTGAGTGCTATCAGGCAGAGACAAGGCCATCTATGGTCTTTACCTGATTCCATCTGAAACTGGTGGCTGTAATTCATCACTATGCAGATGGTGATTTCTGCAGGGGTGGCAATTTCTAGGCAGTAAAAGTAATTTCTAGGCAGTGTAAAGGAAAGGCTCCCTCTGCCCAACTCTGTCAGCATTTTGCATCCATTCACCTTGGCCAAGTGTCACCACAGGAAACCCAATGACTGCAACATCCCCATTTATCCCTCTGCTCCTTTACCCACAGAAGCCATGAGACTGTCCAGTTTCCTCTTAATCACTAAGAACTCTTTCAGAGGCTTACTACTCTAGCTTGCTCACAGGCCTCACTGGCGTGGGCTCTACTCCAACAAGCCTAGTGGGCTATAAAATCTCTAAAACACATATGGACACCAATATGTATCCAAGGATACCCCTGCATGTCCAGAAATACACACCTAGTTCCCCACAGGCTGAAACGGGAAAAAGGGAAAGAAAAGTAAAATGTGTTCCCAGTATTCTTCAAATCTCTTAACCACTGCAGACACAACCAGAATCAATAGGCACAGCAAACATCCAGCCAGAAAGGTACGGGTCTCCCCTTCCTCTAGTCATATCCACAAACTTTACAACCATTTCTTTCAAGCTTCACCTCAAACTACTATAGAAGAAAGGATAGTCACCACTTCATTAATTATACACATCTAAAGGGGAAGTTTCCCCCCACCCCACCTATCCTCAAGCTCACTTTGTAAGGGGGCAAAGAAAATGTAGGGGAGCTGGTCAGAGTATGGTTGTGCTAGAAAATCAATTCTTAGCAAGTCATGCAGTGAAGTGGCTAATGTCATAAATGGAAAAAACTGAGGAAGTTTCTCTTTTAATTATAGAAATGGCTCTGATCAGTAATACTGGGCAACAAGATACTCTGCACTATCATGTTACATTCATTATATGAACCACATAATATAGATGTTATATTAAATGCATTTTCCATATGAGACAAAAAAGTGAACTGTGACTAATTAAGGCTAAAACACAAAAATCATAAACAGGAATAAATCTTTCAATGCATAAAAAAATTAGGTTTGAACCAGCCCAAAAATGAGGAAAAATCCCTGAGTTATGTGTCTTATTAAGGTTCTAACCAAATAAGACAACAGAAGATAGTGATTTGACAAGATATGATTACCTCAGAGCAAAACAAAAACAAAAAAAGGCACTAGTTATTATCTGCCCAGCACATACTTGGACCAAACATTAAGCTCTATCTTTCATATTACCACCTGTAAGTCCCAGAGGGAAAGAAGGGTAGGACAGAGAATGAAAATAACTTTTACACATGCATATTTGATTTCTCAGCATAAACTATGAGCATCTTGGCAAACCACTTACACAGAATATTTCTATGATTGTTAAGCTTTCACAGAGCATTGAATAACAAGTAATGTTGGAGCCAGAAGTAAATTCCCTTTCTCATGGCCATGTCCAGCTTCCTCTCAGGGCAGGTGCTACCATCCTGCTCATCAGGACACAGTACTACCCATGCTCTCTCTCCCTTCTCTGAGGAAGCACACATTTTCCAAAAAGTTTTGATTTCTTCAGTCAGATTTGTTATTTTTAATCACAAAATCAAAGTCTCTGGTGATATGATTAAGATTACCTCAAGCTACATGCCCATTTTGGGGGGAAAACTACAACTCAGAATTTGTCCAGTAATGCTTTCTACCACAGAGAAACATAATTCAAGGATACGATTTTACTTAAAAATATCTTTCTTAAAACAAAGTTTTTTCAGGCTGATAGTAAGAATATTAATTGTGACCACCACATTATATATAGATAATTCCAACTATTGTTCATTTTAAAACTTGTTTCTGATGAATCATATTTTCAAGCCAGTCTAAAACTTATTTTAGCTGTTTCCAATTTAAGGAGAAACAGAGCTGCTGCCTCAACATGTAACTTTTCTTTGACCTTTTATGTATTTCAAAGGCTAAATAATGAATTTCAGAGTTTTCAACCATGTTTACCATTAATATAGAAGTTACCTCTTTAATAATTCCATAAAGATGTATCATTGATTTTTTTCAAAATGATTTTATTCAATAAAAATAAATATTATTTGTATTTATGAAAAGCCAGACTTTTTACTGAAGTTTTAGACAGACTATTCTGTGTCTGTTTAAACTATTACAAACAAAAGGCTATCTGAAATTAGAAAACACACCTTACAATGACATCCGAATCCCACCCAGGATTGTTTATGGTTAGCCATCAATTTCACTTTTCACTGACCAGGGTAAATTAAGAGAATGATGAGTATCTTACGGAAAAGGGAGCAATGTCCAATTAAAGACATTAAACATGAAACCAGAGAATGTGAAAATCTCACTAGTGCCACCTACAGTACCAACGGAGAATGCAGATAAAAAAATTTTTAATAACTGCCTTGATATGTGTGTGTGTATGTGTGTGTGTGTGTGTGTGTGTAAAACCCTTGGATTCGTTCTTCAGGACTATGTACCAAAAAAGCTTTCTACCAACTACTTTACAAAGTATGAAAGTGTCACGTAAGTCATACCAAAACCCCCCAAAAAAGCCCTCTTCAAAAATCAAGAAAACCTCAAGCATAGTATTAATTTTAGTGTAAAGCTCGAAGAACAAAGTCTCATAAGAATTAATGAAATGAAAAACATGCAGAATTTAGTAAAACTAATAAATAGTAAGGTAAATGATCAAGTCAGATGTTACTTGAATGGATTCAAAAGCCCAAGGCATCCTTACCTTACATTCCACCACACTCTGATCTGATTCACAAGTCTCATAGATTTCATCAACTGCCCGGCGAAGATTGTCAAAAAGAAATGCCCAATATCGAGCTCTTAGATCAATTTTCCGAGGGTGTCTAGTTTTAGTGGGACTTTTATCAAAGTTTTTATCTCCAACTACAGATGTTATTTTACATTCTACTGCAGTATTCTAGTGAAATAAAATATAAAAAAATATTAAAATATCTCCAAGGATTTGATCTTTGTATAAAGCACTTTTTTTTCCAACATAAATACTTAAAGACACTCTTCTTTTCAGCTTACATGTCACTTGAATTTGCCAAAACAAATTTCTCACTTAAAACAAAAGGGACAGATTTGTGAGGTCAATCTTTATTCCAAACAAGTGTTACCAAAGATTAGTGGTACTTTAATGGTGAAAAAACCTTTAGCAAAAAAGAGCACCAAAGTGACTCCTGGCCTACTGGAATATATTTACAGCACATTTATACAGCTTTCCAAATAATAAATACCAATGTCAACATGTTTAATTGCTTACATTTATTCTTTTCCTTTATGCCACTCAGTGCAGTTATATTCAATTACAGAATCACCTTTCTAAATTTAGTTGTTTTTTTAACCCCATCAATAGCTCATGAGATTTACCAATACACTTCATAGCTTTTATGAAGCTCCCCAGTTTCCTTTTCTTCTTGTGAAGTACATCTCTAACAGTTCTTTCAGTAAGGGTCTGCAGACAGCAGCTATGGTCTGAATATATCTCCCCAAAGTCCACATGTTAGAAATGTAACCCCTCAAGCAATGTGTGGAGAAGTGGGGATTGCTAAGATCCCACATGAGTGGATTAACCCCATGGGCATGGAAGTGAGTTTGTTATGGAGAAATGGTGTATGTATAAAGGATGAACTCAGCCCCTCCCTCTTTCCTCATACATGCAGTATTCTCTCACCATGTGATACCTTCTGCCATGTCAGGATACAGCTAGAAGGTTCTCACCAGGTGTGGCCCCTCCATCTCAGACTTTGCAGGCTCCAGTACCATAAGCAAATAAACTGCTAGTGTTTATAAACTGCCCAGTCTATTGTACTCTATCAGAACAGCACAAAATGTACTAAGAAAATGGAAAACATTTGGTCTTTTTATGTCTAAACATGGACTTTACTTCACTCTTGTGCTTGAATAATCATTTGACAAAGCATAGAATTCTGAGCTAAAAATTATTTTGCCTTATAACTTTAAAGATGCTACTCCATTGTCCTTTTGTTGGTAATAAGACTACCATGAACCTGTCATTCTTCTCTGGTTTTATGCCAGGTAATTTTAAAGATTATTTTCTTAACCTTGACATTCTGAAGATCCTCTAGAGTAAGTCTAGGTGAAATCTATTTTATTTGTCCTCTTCAGTTCTAAAATTTATGTTATAAAGCTCTTGAAAACTCAAAAAATGGGGAAAAATTTCAACACACCCATTCTCAAGTTTGAAAATCTTAGAAGACTGGTATTAGAATTCCTCAATCCTAAATTCTTATTCATATTTTCAATCTCTTTAGTTCTCTGAGCTGTATTCTAAACCCTCCTCTAACAGTGTCTTCTAGTTTAGAAATTCACTAATCTCTTTGCCCAATATATAATTTTTCCATTAACTGCAGGTCTTAATGTTTCACTGATAATATATCATTTCCAAGATTTCTGTTTATTTTTATCTGTAAATGTTCAAAATTAATATTCACCCATTTTATTTAAAAAATTTTCCACTTTGCTTTTAGCTATTCTTTCCTTTAAACCTATTTACTTGAAAAGTCTTTTTAAGAAAAATGTCCTTTTCTCACTATTACCTCAGGAATACATGATTTCATTTGTGGAATGTATAGTCTATATTTATGACATTATTTTCTTCTTGTGTTATGATATTTTATTTTGCACTTGAGTTTGAGTTTCTATCTTTACTTTTTTACTTTCCTCACCTTTATGGTTACCATCATCTGGCCCACTATAATGCTACCTGCAGAAGTCTTTGACTGGGGCCTTACAGCTCTTCACCTTTAAGAATATGACAGATCCAATAATGAATTAGAGTCACTCTTGGATGGCTGCCTGCACTGTCTTCAGATAAAAGCTATTACAGAGTACTAGCCCAGACATCTACTTTTCCAGTTTCCTAGTGCAAAGCCCTGCTCAAGCCTAAGGTTTCACACCCTCAGCCCGAGTTTGCTTCACACAATAGGATATTCAGCCTCCCTTATGTCACTGGAATCAATTTTCTAGATGTTCTGTCCATTTAGTTTGTGTCCCCAGTACCACTTAACTGTTACAGAATGTTTGTTTCCTTTATTATCCAAAGATGAGAAATACACTATTATGTGTTTATGTGAACCAAAAACTTCACATGAGCAAAACAAAGAATTCTAATCAAGATACCACTGTGCATTTACAAAGAATCCCTACTCCCGACACACAGAAGCATCAATGATAATTTTTTTAAATAAAAAGATAAAGGATATTTTTTAAATTTATCATTGATGCCTCTGTGTGTAGAGAGGGGATCTTCTTTGTAAATTTACGATGGCATCTTATGAGTATGAAAATAATACCTACTCCAAAGAATTGTTATAAGAACCAAATAAATTCACATTTGTGAAGTGCTTAGTGTATGTCAGGCAAATGAGTACATATACACATTTGTTATATAAAAGGATACATTAAATTTTTATGTACGGGCCAGACATTTGGCTCAGTGGTTCTGCCACCTGCCTTGCAAGCACAAGGGCCCGAGTTCGATCCCCAGTACCAAAACAAAAAAAAATTTTTTACATAAAAGATTAAAATATATAATATTCAAATTCTAAAAAATTAGATTTTTCAAATTTATAATATGTTCAGGAATTGAACTTAAAAGTAAATAAGCAAACAGGTGCATATGCTCTACCTGCTTAGCAGTTTTATGAGTGCTTTGAATTGTCCTCTTAGATTTTCCACCAGCTTGACATTTAGGTTTTCCTTCAAGACAAGAAAAAAAAATAGATCAATGAATAGATAATATAAAATTAAACTATAAGTAGTGAGCTAAAATAACACCTAAACTATACAAATCATTCAGGCATACTGATACCTAACTTCTATCCAGAGAACACAGAATACTGCAATGTACTCAAAGTCCAACTGAACTACCGAAACAGTTTTTAAAAAAAGCAAATTCCCAAAGTCCCAGAAATTTGTTTGTATCAAGTGGCTTTTTCAGAACAGGAATTAATCAACTTGTTAAAGAGGTCAGATAATTTGACATATTAAAAATAAGGTCAAATTATTGTTATTTCTCGAGCCAGGGATGTATCTCAGCAGCATAGCACCTGCCTGGCAAGCATGAGGTCCTGAGTTCAATCCCCAGTACTAAAACAAAAACAAAAACAAATTATTGTTATTTCTTAACTTATATGCAAATCTAAAATTACTTCATTGAATTCAAATTTTATTCAGTTAAAATTAAGGCTATGTTTTTACCATATAAAACCCAATGTTTTTATTAGTTACTCTGATTTATAAAATACAATTTCATTTGGAAAAGATAAACTTTTGATTTTTGGTATTTTTGTAATCAGACTAATATTTTTCAAACAAGAAAGACCCTAACCACTGTTTGGTACTCATTATTCTTGATATCAATTCAAAACAAGAACCAAGTTCTATAATGTACAACACAATTTTCCTTTCTACACAATAATTTTGGGCAGGTACTTGCTGCTGTGTAAGTGAAATGAGCCATAACACATAAATATGATGAGTTGTACTAGCAACTTATCTGACATAAGCGGGACTCTTTACTATTCTACGAGAGAAGGAGGCAGAGAAATCTGCACCCCACAGCCTTTCATTCATTCTTTTATCATATAAAACAACATATTAGCAGGTACATTGGAAAACAGAATATCCAGCAGAAAAACCAGCCTGAAACAAACAACAGAAGAAAAATAATTCACAGAAGAGAGTAATGCTTGTTTAAAATGGACTATCCTCAGAAACATCAGAGTATGCATTGTAGCTATAATACAAGAACAAGCTATTTAAAAAGAAACATTTTCCTATAATTGCCAAAGTTTTAATATAAGATAGTCTTATCAAAAATAATGAATGTTGTACACACCTATAATCCCAGCACTGTGGGAGGCTAAGGCAAGAGGACTGCAAATTCAAGCCCAGCCTGGACAACCTAATGACTTATTGAGACTTTGTCTCAAATCAAAAAATAAAAAAGAGCTGAGGATGTAGCTCAGTAAGAATGCCTTGGGTTCTATTACAGCATCACACACAAAAAGAGAAGGGGTGAGGGCTGAGGGTGTACCTCAGTGGAAAGTCTTACGTTCAATCCCTACTACTGTCATCATTATTTAAAATATTTCAAAGGTTCTCATTCTATTTGCTCATAATTTATTTTGCAATAACAAGAGAAGCTGTAAAATTATATTAGTCAATTATTTATATGAAAAACCAGATTATGTACAAGTGTATGATTACTATATTTTCTTTTATGTTATTTGAATAAAAGCAACTTTTTAAAGAAAAGCACCTTTGGATCATTTTATAATTAACCTATGAAAATGGGAAAATTAAACTTCATATAATATTTATAATACACAGGAGGTATAAAATATTGTTTTTATTTTTGTAGAAAATACTGATATGTTTTATCAAAGAAAAGAAGCAACAGTAAGCTCCTTACAAAAAAATTACCTAGCAAAGAGCTGAATTTCAAAAAATAAATTTAATTCTCTATTTGGCAGTTTTGTGATTCAAAATAACTGCTATTTAAAAACAGCTCAAAAATAGACAAGGACAATCTGTAATCAGGGACTGCTCTAAACATATTTAAAAATACTATAATGTGTCCATAATTAAACAGGGTGGCACTCATACATGAATTGGATAAGCAGTAGTGTAAAAGAATAGAAGTACACATGGAAATTCAATCTAAAGAAAAGGTGGGATCTCACACAGCTGGAGCAGAGAGACTTTACAGTACATGATGCTGGGGTGACTCATTACCCATTAAGAAAATGGTAGAAGTAGATCTAAACTACACATTACGTAAGAATAAACTATAGACAGTCCAGAAATTTAAAATTATATTAAAGAAAATAAAATTTTTAATAAAATAAAATGTAAAAGACAGTGAAAGTAAAATAAATTTTAAAAAGAACAAAACATGGCTTTTTGGGGGGTTTTGTTTTTGGTTTTTTGTGGTGTGAGAGATTGAACCTAGGACCTTATGCATGAAGCATTCTACTGACAAACTGTACCTCCAGCCCAGAGAAATTCTGTTGTATAAGGATGCTCTCAAAAGATGATAAAAAAGTGTCAAAAGGAATCAAGCACCATCCACTAAACAAATACAGAACAATTTGATCATCAAAATAAATAAACACATTAAATACAACAAAAGCATGAATCCACACAAATTTAAACTTATAAATATATACACATCAGAAAATTTTAAGGTAAAGTCTCATTTGGTATATTCCTCCTCCATCCCCAGAAAGAGTAGATCGCTCTGGCTATAACCATTAAAAGGAGGGGGTCTAAAGGGATGAAAAAAAATCCAATTCACATATGAATAAGAACTGAAGAAAAAAATCCCATTTTATAAATGATCACATTAAACTGTACCTAATCATGGTATTGTAGTGAGTTTAAAAAAAATTTTAAACTTTTAGGGCCGGGGATTTAGCTCAGCAGTTCGGTGGCCTGCCTTGCAAGCGCAAGGACCTGAGTTCAATCCCCAGTACGAAAAAAAAAAAAAAACTTTTATTTTTAATGGGCACATAATCACTGCACATATTTACAAGGTACAGTGTGATTTGATACAAGTACAAAATGCATAATAACATTTCCATCTTCTCAAATATTTATCATTTCTTTCTGATGGGAACCTTCAAACACCTCTCTTCCAGTCTTTTGGGGTTTTTTTCTTCCCACTCCACCCCATATTCTCTTAGTGATAGGTACTGAACCCATGCTAAGCAAGTTTTTTACCACTGTACTCTGTAGTGGTGGCAAACCTACGACACATGGGCTGCAGGGAGCTGTTTATATCACTGAAAGCTCTAAAAGGTTTGCCATTACTGCCCTAGGTTTTTGTAAGACACAATAAATTGTTGTAAACTTTAAGAATTTAATTAAAAACTTATCTCATAACTTTTTTAAATCCCTAATCTGTCAGTCACAATAAACCCAATTTCATTATCAGAAACAGCAAGACTACAAAAAATCAACAATGAAATAATAGAACTGAACCAAGCTTTGGAACACATGGACTTAATAGATGTTTATAGAGTATTCCACCCCCAAAAACCAGAATATACATTCTTTTCGGCTGCACATGGATCATTCTCCAAAATAGACCACATACTGGCTCACAGAACAGGTCTAAATAAATGCAAAAAAATTGAAGTCATCCCCTGTTTATTATCAGATCATAGTGCAATCAAACTAGACATCAATAGTACAAGAAACTATAGAAACTTCACAAGCACATGGAAACTGAACAACACTCTCCTAAACAATCAATGGATTACAGAGGAAATTAAAGAAGAAATTAGACAGTTTTTACAAATAAATGAGAATGCCAATACAACATACAGGAATCTTTGGGACACAATGAAAGCAGTTCTACGTGGAAAATTCATAACATTGAATGCCCACACTAGGAAAACAGAGCGGGCTCAAATAAACAACTTAACGATGAAACTTAGACTCCTAGAAAAACAAGAGCAAGAAAAACCCAAAGCTCGAACAAGAGAGGAAATTATAAAGATCCGAGCAGAAATCAATGCAATTGAAATTAAGAAAACGATACAAAAAATAAATGAAACAAAGAGCTGGTTTTTTGAAAGAATAAATAAAATTGACAAACCCTTAGCTAATCTTATCAAAAAAAGGAAAGAAAAGGCTCAGATCCATGCAATTAGGAATGAAAAAGGCGAAGTCACAACAGATCCGAAAGAAATCCAGAGGATCATGAACACCTACTTTGAGAACCTGTACTCTAATAAAATGGAAAACACAGAAGAAATGGACAGATTTCTAGATACTTATGAATTACCAAAGTTGAACGAAGAAGATAAAAACATTTTAAACACCCCAATCACAATCAGTGAAATTGAAAATGTAATTAAAAACTTACCAACAAAGAAAAGCCCAGGCCCTGATGGATTCACTGCTGAATTTTACAAGACATTTAGAGAAGAACTACTACCATTACTCTTCAAACTTTTCAATGAAATTGAAAGAGAAGCTATACTTCCAAATTCATTCCTGGAAGCAAGTATCACTCTGATTCCCAAACCAGAGAAAGATACAACCAAAAAGGAGAACTACAGACCAATCTCCTTAATGAATATAGATGCAAAAATCCTTAATAAGATACTAGCAAACAGAATACAGAGGATTATTAAGAAGATCATCCATCATGACCAAGTCGGATTTATTCCAGAGATGCAAGGGTGGTTCAACATACGAAAGTCAGTGAATGTAATACATTATATTAACAAAGTCAAGGACAAAAACCATATGATCCTCTCAATAGATGCAGAAAAAGCATTTGATAAAATTCAACACCCATTCATGATAAAAACCCTGCAAAAAATTGGAATAGATGGTCTATACCTCAATTTAATAAAGGCTATTTATGAAAAACCATCAGCCAACATCATATTGAATGGCCAAAAACTGAAAACCTTCATGTTAAAATCAGGAACAAGACAAGGATGCCCACTATCGCCACTTCTCTTCAATATAGTTCTGGAAACATTAGCCACAGCAATTAGACAAGAGAAAGAAATTAAAGCAATAAAGATAGGAAAGGAAGAAGTTAAACTATCATTATTTGCTGATGATATGATACTCTACATTGAAGATCCAAAAAACTCCACCAAAAAACTTCTAGACTTAATTGACAGATTCAGTAAAGTATCTGGATACAAGGTGAATACCCAAAAATCAATAGCCTTTCTATACACAAATAACAGACAGACAGAAAGAGAAATAAGGGAAAAAATTCCTTTTACAATAGCATCCAAAAAAATGAAGTATCTAGGAATCAATCTAACAAAAGAAACAAAAGATCTCTACACTGAAAACTACAGCACTCTGAAAAAAGAAATCGAAGAGGATATAAAAAAATGGAAAGATATCCCCTGCTCCTGGGTAGGAAGAATCAACATAGTGAAAATGGCCATACTACCGAAACTGCTATATACATTCAATGCAATGCCAATTGAAATTCCAACACTATATTTCACAGAACTAGAAAAAAGAATCCAAAAATTCATTTGGAACCACAAGAGACCTAGAATAGCAAAAGCCATTATAGGCAACAGTCACATGGCACCAGGTGTAACAATTCCCAATTTGAAACTATACTACAAAGCCACTGTGATAAAATCAGCATGGTACTGGCAAAGAAATAGGCCTGAGGATCAATGGAACAGACTGGAAGACACAAAAACAAATGCAGATGTACTCAGCTACCTCATCTTCGACAAAGGAGCTCACCATCCTCAGTGGAGGAAAGATAGCCTCTTTAATAAATGGTGTTGGAAAAACTGGATATCAACCTGTCACAGATTAAAATTAGACCCTTATCTTTCGCCATGCACTAAATTAAAATCCAAATGGATTAAAGATCTAAATATTAAAACAGAAACATTAAACTTGCTGGAAAGTAAGTTAGGCAGAACTCTGGAAGACATTGGTATAGGAAAAGACTTTATGAACAAATCCTCAGTAGCACGGGAACTAGCAGAAAGAATCAACAACTGGGATCTCATCTTACTAAAAAGCTTCTGTACTTCAAAAGAAACCATTAGCAGAACTAAGAGACAATCTACAATGTGGGAAAAAATTTTTACCAGCTGTACCTCAGACAAAGGACTATTATCAAGGATATATAAAGAACTCAAAACAATCAGTCCCCCCAAATATAAAGACCCGATCCAAAAATGGGCATCCGAAATGAACAGACATTTCTCATACAAAGAAGTGAAAGCAGCAAGAAAATATATGAAAAAATGTTCCACATCACTGGTCATTCGAGAGATGCAGATGAAAACAACACTGAGATTCCACCTCACCCCACAAAGAATGGCTGCTATCAAGAAATCACACAATAACAAATGTTGGCGGGGTTGTGGGGAGAAAGGAACCCTCCTCCATTGTTGGTGGGAGTGCAGACTAGTGCAACCACTATGGAAATCAATATGGAGATACCTCAAAGAGCTTGGACTGGAGGTTCCATTTGACCCAGCCATCCCTCTGTTGGGTATCTTTCCAAGAGAACTAAAAGAATCATATCACAGAGAAGTATGTGCACCCATGTTTATAGCGGCACAGTTTGTAATAGCTAAATCTTGGAAACAACCTATTTGCCCATCCGTTGGAAACTGGATAAAGAAGTTGTGGTTTTTCTATAAAATGGAATATTACTCAGCCATAAAGAGCGAGAGAATAGATTCATTCATAGGAAAATGGATACATATTGAAGATATACTCCTAAGTGAAATAAATAAGTCCCACATGTGTAAATACCAAATAGTTTCCCTGGTGTGAATATTCTGCAACAATGCATAAGATTCTAATAAGATTACTGACATTTAGAAATGGGAGGAAAGGAGCTAAAGGTGTAGGGAAGGTGTGATACGTAGGGGAAGAACAAAAAGGGAAAAGAAAAAAATGTGAGAGAATGAAAAGATGAAAATAAAGTGTTTGTAGATGGGGAGGGGAGGAGGGGGTGAAGGGAGGGCAGAGGTAAGGGGAAAAAATGAGAATCAAGACTTGCCATGTAAAGGTACATGATCCCAACAATGAATGTAACTGTACTGTATCCCTAAATGTACCAATAAACTCAATTAAAAAAAAAAAGAAAGAAACAGCAAGACTAATAACAATTTGTATACATAAGCAAAAAAATTATTTTATTTACTATATACTAATTTGTCTAAGAGTTCTAAATGTGAACACTGAGTTTTCAATCTATTTAGTATTTCGAACTAAATGTATCTTAATTATATTTTGTTTTTGAGATGGGGTCTTATTACTATGTTGCCCAGGCTGCCCTTGAACTGCTAGGCTGAAAAAGGCCTCCTACCTCCACTTTTGAGTAGCTAGAACTACAGGCATACACCACACCATGCTACCCCCTTCCCAATTTACAACGAAGATTCAATAATTTTTAATACATACCATCATCATCTTTGCTTTCCAGTGGAACACTCCAAGCTATCAGATTTCTTGCTGTCCGACCCTCCTCTGCAACTATTCTCCTTACTTTGTCATGACTATTAGAGCGCTGGAATGAAGCCTATGTACAGAAAAAGAGAATATAGTACTTATTGGATTATTAAGTAATATATTAGTCAACATAAATAATATACTTGACAAATTCATTCTTTTGCACATTTACTCAGAAAGCAAACACTTAAAACTAGTCTGGTATTTGGAAACAGATAGTCAAACAGTAGTCAAACAGATAAAAGAAAATGAATCACAAGTCTTTCTCTTTAGGTCTAAAAAGACTAAATTTTACAACTTTAAAAATAAATTATTTCAAGAAGGACATACTCTAAGGTTTAAAGAAGTGCCTCAAGCAACATAACTATCACTGTCACCCGTATCAGCACTACCCCTTACATATCAACAGGTCCAGGTGAAAAAAGATCAGTTTTATACATCTGCTATACATTTCTTTTATTTATTTTTTCTTTCTTTCTTTTTTTCTTGGTACCCAGAATCAAACTCAGGACCTTGCAATTGCCAGGCAGCAGCAGTGCCACTGAGCTACATCCCTGGCCCCATATGCTATATATTTCCCTTGAAAGCTCTCTGCTTTAGAAAATCCTTTTTCACTCCTTCGTGACAGTGCTAAAGTAAACTTCAACTCAGTTATTAGCTGTATACTTTTTGTTTTTTGTACTGGGGATCAAACTCAGGACCTTGCAATTGCAAAGCAGGAGGCAGAACCACTGAGCTAAATCCCTGGCAGCTGTATACTTTTTAAACTCCAAGTTATTGGGATCCAAATAACACCTGTAACTCAGGTATTTAAATTACAAATTTTAAAATTCAAACTACTTTATGAAATATGTATGATTTATTGCATGCTCTAGTCCCATCCAGCCTGTGAGCCACAGCAGCCTACAAATTCAGCTCCACCAAGACCCTGGGTCAGGGCAAAGTCACTTATTTTATCCTCAGTAAAATAAGGATATTGCTTCCTCCATTAATAATGATCTAGGAAAATAGCTTGTTTTTAATAAGCTAAGTATCCATAAAAAGTAATGCATCCTAAAGCATCTAGGAGAGCACATACACAACTTCTAACCCTACATGGACAGTCAATTTCTTTCTGAAACAAGTTCACCACTAAGCTGGCCCAAAATCGCAGGCCACCACTGGGTGCCTTCATATCCTCTTCTGGTCCTTGCCAGCCTGGCTTGTTGGCATTCCTGTTACTGGGAAATGACTATTTGCAAAGCATTATGCAAGACAGTGAGGAGAATATAAGGAAACATAGTTGGCCTTGAGCAATACAGATTTGAACAACACAGGTCCATTCAACAAATCCTTTTTTTTTTAAATTTGCAAAAATTTGAAAAAACTAGCAAATGAATCTTGCAGCCCAGAAATAATGAAAATTCAAGAAAAAGATATGTCACAAATGCATATAATACAGGTAGAAAATAGTCTATCATATACTACCATAAATACCTAGTTTATAATAAGTTAGTTTATCAAAATTATACACATAAACATAGACTATACATATTTAGTTAAGAAAATGTACATAATTCACTCTACAAAGTGTAAACAAATATAAAGATGCAGCATTAAATCATAACTACATAACCACTCTAGATCATACTGAATTACACATTGCCACTTGCTTTTGATACTGTATTGTGAGCTCAAGTGCTGCTGGCACCCAGGAGAACACCATGTGACTCCGCCCCCTGTGAGCAGTCTACCTCTGAGTAAACTACACACGCCAGTGAAAAGTGCCTCTTGGCTGGTTCATGTGCTTTTCCCATTGTATATAATACAGGTAGCCAAATATATCTATATTTTCCTCTCTAAGACTTCAACATAAACACCTGTACTCACATTTCTTCATGGCCCTGAGTTTAACCTGGACATCTACCTAATTAACTTTTCACTGGAACTCATCACTTTGTGACTACTCTCACAGCTCCCTCCTGAGACTTTTAGATTTTGCAAAGTCTTCAAATGGTCTCTTGTGTACTTATGTCCTACTTTCCAATCACTGTAGCACCATAAAGCCTCTCTATTTACTAAGCATATCTCCCAGTGAGTCAAGTTCTATCTCTAAATTCCACTGCTATCTATTAGTCAGGTTATCTCAGCATTGTTCTAACCAAAAGCATCATTTTTCAAGCAAGGCCAAATGAACAAGTTTAAACAGATATCCCACTTTCAGCTCTAATTCAGGTAATTTATGCAAACACAGGCAACTTCTAGGTACAGATATGTGTATTAGCCCATGAAATTCACTGTTCCATACATCACCTTATAACTCAGGAGTCTATAGAGTAATGAGCTTTGAAGAACTAAATGGATCCCCAAGAAACATTATTACAGTAATGCTAGGTATGCAAATTTTAAATCTAATATTCTTCTATAAATACTTCCATAAATTTCACCAAGTTATTTTGTACTCAGCATACAATCTTGAGCTGGTGACATTTTATTTGAGTGTGTGTGTGTGTGTGTGTGTGTGTGTGTGTGTGTGTGTGTACATGTGCGTGTGTGAGTGCATTAGTAAGGATCAAACCCAGGGGTGCACTACCATTAAGCTACATCTCCAGCCCTTTTTATTTTCTATTTTGAGACAGGGTTTCACTTAGTTGCCTAGGCAAGCCTCAAACTTCTGATTCTCCTGCCTCAGCCTCTCTCTGCTGGAATTACAGGGATCTGCCCCACTGCAACTGGCTATTCTTAATTCCACCTGGTTGTATGTAAAAGCACTACTTACCTTACTACAACTGATGGAAAGCTATTTTTTATTTTAAAGCACACATGTTTTGTGTAACATATGCTGAGTGGAACTCCTTTCAGTAAGGTCTCATAAAGTCATCATTTTTAATAATCCAAGTCTTATAAAAATGTCAGCAGCAAATTTAGTAGTTTTAAACACTTTAAATATCAGGATTTGAAATGCAATAAATGAGTCTGAGTTACATCATAACCTTATAAATGACTATTTCAACAATATTTTTATCTAGGTTATTTTCTTACAGGAGACTTCAACAAAAACTTCCACCCAAAGTCATGGTGTGCCACCTAGTGCTGCCTACAAATTTTACAGAGCACTGTTCAATACTGTTCCAACTGAAAGCAATAAACGTCAGCCTTGAGTGAGAATCTCTATGTTCAAATCTTACAATACACACTTAAAGAAAGCAAGTGTGCTGACTATTCACAGTCTACATATTCTGAGACTTGCTCCCTGGCTGACAGAAGAAACTTACGTCTCTTGGATTTAAAAAAAATCTAATTTTTATGCTAACTACTTTTTTCATAATCTTGAAATGGTGATGAGCACTGCTTAATAAATGTTTGTACCTCCAAATATTCTACTCCACACACTTTCTTCAAAATCCATCCATACTATTGCTTATTCATAAAATGAAATTCCCACACCTTTGTAAAAATGGTTTTCAAATTTTTTCTCTTAAATTATTACTAACAAAGCTCTTCATATTTTAGACAATATGAAGACAAGATTATCAGTTGGTGGACACGAGGAATACATTAAAATTCTAAGAACAGTAATGCTGGCATACATTTTTATAAACAATAAAACTTACTGAGAAACTTGTACAATTTCCCAAATATTACAGGATGATGACTAGGAATCCTGTTCAGTAATTTATGGTAACTTTTGTCATTTCTTAAAGATATTTCATATCTTGCTAAAGGTAAAACTGAGACAGGCTGGATATAATATAAACATCTGGTCTGAGGTACTGTGCTTGGGGGCTCTGTTATAGCAGATGAGCCTATACCCTAAGTTATAAATTATGAATTTTATCTCCTAAGCATTCCTTGAACACATAAATCAAAAGCTAGGTGTGATAGTACACACCTGTAATCCCAGCAGTTGGAAGAATGAGGCAGGAGAATTTTACATTTCTGTCCAACCTGGGCTACACAGCAAGACTGCAATTCTAAGAGAAGCAACCATGGCAAAGAAGCCAAGCAGAGTATAGAGACAAAATGTATTCAGAGCTATCTCAGACTTCAGGGTGGGACTCAGAAATAGTTCTACTGCGACAGCAATAATGAACCATAAATATAGTAGCCAATTTTGAACTATCTCAACCTTTAATGGATTAGAATAAACTGCAACTGCCAGTGCCCCTAACCATCAGCAAGAAACAGAGGTGGAATCATCTAGAGAGGAAGACATTATCATTCTAAGCATCAAATTATCTGTCCAGTCATTCACAATACAATACAAATGGCTCCTGACTTGTAATGGTTCCATTTGTAATGTTTTGACTTTATAATGGTATGGAAGTGATACGCATTTGTTAGAAATCCTACTTTGAATTTTGAATTTCAATCTTTTTACAAGCTAGCAGTACGCTGCATGTCCATCTGCCTTTGTCTCTCTCTTCTCTCTCCTTCCTTTCCTCTCTTCTTCTCTCTCTCCTCCCTCTCCCTCTCTCTGTCTCTCTCCATCCTTCCTTCTCCCACAATGGTGGCAGTGGCCATAGGCTACAGCTCCCTCTGGCCACAAGATCAAAAAGGTAAGCCACCAACACTGTATAGAGTCTCTATTGCTAAGCTAGGGTATCTGGAAGATTAAGGATAGTAAATGCATTTCTAACTTATAGTATCGTCAATTTACAATGGGTTTCTTAGGACATAACACCAATGTAAGTCAAGGAGTATCTGAAATGCCCAACATTTAAATAAAAAATTACCAGACATGCCAGGCACAGAGGCATGTGCCCATAGTCCTGGTTGCTTGGGAGGGTAAGGCAGGAGGATCACTTCGGACCAGGAGCTCAAGGACAGCCTGAGTGCCAGCAAGACCCCATCTTGAGAAAATTTTCCGGAATATCAGAAAAGAAGTGAAATGACTGAAAACAAAAAAATTATAGGAAATAGAAATATATCCACACATGACCAAAATAACAGAGATATTAAAGACTTTAAGTCTAATTAATATGACCTAAAATAAAAAAGAACAAAGGAAGGTCCCTGTCATCAACAGAAGAATGAACAAAGAAAATGTGGCACATATACACAATAGAATATTATCCAGTCATAAGGAACAAAATCATGTCATTTGCAGGAAAATGGATGGAACCAGCGACCATGATGTTAAGTAAAACAAGCCAGACTCAGAAAGTCAAATATCTCGTTTTCTCTCATGTGAGGAATCTAGAAAAAAAAGTTTTTAAAGAGGGATAAAATGAAAGTAGAAGGGAAACTATTAGAGAAGCTGAAAGGAATCAGCAGTGGAGAGGAAAGAGAAATGGTAATGGAGGAAATGATCAGTGTGTTCTACACACGAACAGATATGCCATAATGAAATCCACTACTCTCTACAACTAATTTACTAACTTTTTAAAAACCATGTTTTAAAAAGTTTGAAATTTCTCCCCAAGAACTAAAAACTTTCAACCAGAAAAGCCTGGCCATTCTCTCTATTACCCAATTGGCGCAGGTTAACAATGAGAGGATGCATTCCCATCAGATACCTCCTGACATAGAGCACTGAGAACACATCATCACCATGGAAGATGGGATCCAAAATGCTAAAGCTGACCCCAATCATGAGTAAACAGAACCTAAATTGAGAGAAATTCTTCAAAATAACTGAATAATTCTTCGAAAACAACCAAGACAAGAAAAACAAATAAAGGCTGAGGAACTGTTCCAGATTAAAGGACACCAGACTATTGACAACTAAATGGATCAAAGTGAAAAGACAACTCAAAGAGACATTAAAATGATGACAAAATTTGAGTATCTGCTCAGGATCACATAACAGTAATGTCCAGATTTTAATAAGTGAACTGTAGTCATATAATTATGAAAATATCTTTGTACTTAGGAAATTCACATTTAAGTATTTTGAGATCAGAAGAATAGGTTGACTTCAAATATTTTCAAAAGTTCAATTTATGACCAAAATATCCTCACTGTGGGAAATTCTCAGGATATAGCAAGTAGAAGGAAAATGACCCTAAATAACAGATATGAAAACTCAAAACCTTAGAATTAAGGGGCAGTATAAGGTGTGAGGGATAAGAAAGCTCACAGGTAGGTGCACTACCATCCTTGCACCACAGGAGGGAGCTCTGCTCTGGGACCTACACTTAGTTTAGAGGGGTCTACTACCAAAATCAAAATACAAAATCAGCAATTCACTGTGTAAGCAGGAATTAAGAGAAAGGGACTTATAAATAGAACTTGCCCCCCCACACACATCTAGACAATGAGGGGAGGGAAAGAAGGGGCAAATCACAGCCTTGATGCTAAGAAAACCAGAGTACGAACATACTGGCTTGTGTTCAAGGGTGGTCACACCAAGTTTCCCAATGGAAGTGCTTAGATACACTGCATTCCCCAAGAACTCCATTACCTCTTCCTCTTCCTCAGTCAGAACTGTTTAAGAGAACAGTCAGAATTGCCTCATAACCTTGAGCCAGAAAAGTAAAGTGTGCTGGCCAGGCAGCTGCTCACCTCAGTACCCTGCCCTGGAGATATTCCCCATCAGTTCCCAGCCAGCAAGCTCAGTCCTGCCTGGTGTGGGGACAGCACACTCCCCTCCAGAATGGCTGGGCTCTGGTGGGAAAGCAGGCCAGGACTGGCCTATATCTTTTCATAACTCTTTACTATTAAGATATCATCTGTACTCCTACCCTAGTCCCATAAGGGTTAGGAAGCAGCAACAGTTCCTGAAACAAATGCTAAACTTAAAAGAGACAGTATGTGACAAGAGAATAGAAGAGAGGGAAAAAGAGAGGCCCAAAAAAACATGGTTAGTCTTTAAGACAGCTGGATCACTCACCATCATTCTTTAAGTGTCTTCTGTGCCAAGATCATTTATTACATAAAACCATGAGGTGTGACTC